CTAGATTATAGAAGCTTAAATAGTCCTTGTAAGAACACAAGAAAATAGTACAAGTACTGATATATTTTACTGTGGAAGATCGTGTCAGATCACAAGCCAGAGTATTTTAGGCAACCCACACCTAAATGTAAGAAGTTGAGTTGTCAACAATGGGGAGCTCTGTTATTAAACAGGATGTTGCAATGTGTTTATACTGTATATGTGTAAAAGGAAAAAGTCACGTAACTACTTGAGAAATCCAAGACACTGTTATTTTCAGATGACTACATCTACTCTGACTCTGCCAGGACCTGCAATATTAATCATCATCATAAGTAGATATATTGTCCATATGAGTGAATGAATGAATGTTTTATTATAGCCTTTGGCCAATCAACAAAATACAACAGATTCTACAGCTGGAGTGTCATACTTAAATCAAATTAGCTGAATACAGTCACTCTGGTTATATCAATAATGATGGACTATCATCTTAATAGCAGCATAAAAGAACTCTGTAACCTTTTAAGTTTGAGGCTCATATCTGTAATACAGTAAGTTACATACAGTGACCCTTTTCTGATGTCTTTATGATATCAAGCGCCAGAATCTACTATCTCAGGCTCAAGGGATCCGCCCTCTCTTCAAATTTGACATATATTTTTCTTTGGGCAGTAAAGGGGCAAATTATCTATCTTCACTTACTTTGGCCAAACTTATAATTTCCTTCACCAAGGCCCATTTAAATATATTTAAATATATTTCCCTCATCCATTCCCTTGAGAACAGATTTTCAAAGCACCAATCTTTTAGTGGTACATGTCCCTGTGTTGCTGGTGCCTTGGAAATTGTGGCACATATTCTCCAATACTATATCCTTTATTGGGATTTAGGAAAGGAACTTACAGATCCAATACTTTTGAGATTCCCAGAAGAAATTATTTATTTTATGTAACTTGTGTAACTGCAGATGTGAGCCTGGTTAGAACTAAAATGGTTGCCAAGTTCCTTTATATTGCCCATGTGAAGAGAAACATCTCACACCAATACCAGCAAGACTAGAAACAGGAATGCCTCAAATTCAGGTTAGGGCCTGGAAGATGATGCCAACTTTTTGGGTGTTTGAGACCTTCTACTTCCATCCTTAACACATCCTGAAAAGCCAAAAGATGAGCCAGAAATGTGTAAGCCATGTATCACAAGATAGCCATGTGATGGCCTTCAGAAGGCCTGGAGGTTGAATTCTGCCCCCCAATCTTGAAAGTAATTTTAGGGTCACTTATGTTATTAAATCTCTGCTACTTCATGCTCAAAACCTCTAAGCTCATGAAGATTCTCTGTCTGATCAGGAATACCCAGGGTCTGCCACTCTAGAAAGCTGCCACTACTATTTGTCATCATAAGCCTGGTTACTGTATACATTGCTCCTAATAGCAATCCATTATAGACATATATCCTACAGTGGAGTCCTTGGTGCTATCTGAGCTCAGTTGTTTGCTTGCAGACGTTTCATTACCTGACTAGGTAGCATCATCAATGCTAGTTGAGTAATGAAACGTCTGCAAACAAACAACCAAGCTCAGATAGCACCAAGGACTCCACTGTAGGATATATGTCTATAATGGACTGCTATTAGGAGCAATGTATACAGTAACATTGTTCACCTCTGAGCTACATATATTCTCTTCTATTGGAGATATCCTATAATATTTAATTTTGTATTTTGTTGTTATATGGGTAAAACTTCCATAAAATAAGGCCTTACAGATACAGAAAGTGACAGAGTAAAAAGGTATAGTATCTATTAGACAGGAAAGTTTTCAATGCTTGAGTCCATTTACCAAATTAAATGTGGCAAGACTGATGTCATTAGTATACAGTGAGAATGGGGTTATTTCTAATATTCCAAAGGTTACACTGCATTAAGACCTTACTCCCAAACTATCATTTAAATTGGGTTAAAGAATAGTAATTGAGCGCTACATTAAATTTTAAAGTATAAAAGGTCTAGTTGCCTGCAGAACTAAAGTTACTTCTACACAATAATATATGAGTAACTTAAATATTAAGACAGATTATCTCAAGAACTACATTATGCACTTTGATTCAAATGTTATAATTCTACAAGATATATCACATAATTGTATTAAACAGCTCCAGATATGCTTTTGAAAGGCTGTAAATGGCTGCCTGTGTATATATATATTTATATGAATATACAACAACGAATCTGTCCTACCTTAGGAAAACAGTTTTATGATGTATCATTTTTATAAATCTAGGCTAAATAGCCCCTATGGGAACAATAAAACTTGGATAAAGTTGTTATAAATTAGTGTAATACAATCTTTGGATACAGATTTTATTTTCCATTAATGGAAGATTCCCTTCTATGAATGTATTTGTTTTAACAGAGATATCTAAATGGTAGGAAAATGTAACTCCCTCTCCATCAAAATCTGGTAACAGCTTTGTGCTCTCTGAAAATCTGCTCCAGGTGGGGGAGGAGGAGGAACAGTAAATATTTGCAGGCTCATAACTGTGAGCAGCAGCATCCTCTGGCCAAAACTCTGCTCACGGATATGCAGATGGATTTAATCCATCCATCTAATCTTAAAGGTCAGGATACATTCTTGCTTCTCTTGTCTTCATTATACTTTAAATAATTCACACACAGCTATAAAGATAGGAAGCTAGCTGATCCATTCCCTGGCTTTTCCTGTATTATATAAGTGAGGACTTTGAATATCTAAGAATACAGAAAAGAATGCATTCAGTATACATTTTTATTTTGTATTATCCTCAAAGATCAAAAGAATTATAAACTGTACTGTTTGTTATTTTATATTCTAGACTGCATAAGCAAATAGTTAAGGACACGACTTAACGACTGAACAACAACAATTTTTCAAACCTCTGGATTATTTAGTGGCTTTATCAATGAAGGAAATAAGCATCTAAACCAGGAACAAACAATATTTAACATTTGTCACATAAAGCATCTAATACACTTCCTATTTAACTGAGAAATCATGGTGATGGCATAGAATCTCAGATAAAAAACAGATACATCTGAGTATATTTTGCTATTCTTCATATTATAATCTGAGAGTTTTAAGAACAATCCTTGCATTTCAGAAGCATGGTATTTAGTCATCTTGTTTGCTTTGATAAGATGGAGGTTTTTCAAGATAAACCTGAATACAACTCTGCTGCAATGCATTAATACAGAATGTAATCAATACAAAGCAAATGCTAATTTGCCTGAAGCCATGAGAAATACATCATAATCAAAATGATCATAACTATAGCAACACTTCTGTGGACAGATGTAACTGTGACTTAAGTTTACACTGAAGTAAACATATCCATTTATACCTGGTCCAGTTTTGTGAGATAAAATTGAATTTCACAGGAGAAATCAAACCGCATTTTGTCTCATACACACTAGTATTTTTTTTTCAAATCCAAATTCCTCTGAAAAGAATTACCATATATTCATATATATAACATAGTTCAGATATAACATGCATTAAGGACCACATACAATATACTATCACTATTTGTGTATTAAACAATACTGCAGACTTATATGTACATATACAAGGACTGAATGGAAAGTAATGCCTTTAATGTTATAAGTTGTCAACCGACTGCAGTACTGATACACTAGAAGCTCCGGTCTTGATGTCATGTGACTTCCACCTTTTCCCTGAATTGAATCTTTGCGGGCATTTATTTGACCCAAATGAAGAAGTGGAAAGGCCTTTATGGGAGAGACAATATATGGGGTTCTTTTGTGACAGCTGTAAGAAGCTTGTCCATTGTTGGCAGAAGTGTGTGGTGAATGATGGTGTTTATGTAGGGGTGTAAGCATAGGTAACATAAGAGCTGATTTCAAGGATTATTTTTCTGTTTCATGTATTAAAACATCCCTATTTAAACTAAAGTTATGAAGGTGGAGGCATTACTTTTCATTCAACCCCCCTGTATTACTAAAACAATGTAACTGATCAGTTACAGATCATACTGAGCCTTACTTGTCCCACAATGCTAACAAGCCATTTCAGATGTGCTAAGGGAAACACAGCAAGAAGATGTTTGCCCAGCAACTCTATTTCAAAATAGTTTTTATTTTCAACTTGCATAGAATGCTTGCAGAACTGTCGTTCCATAAGAAAATGTAGATTAGAGATCAAGATAAAAGAACATTCAATAATAACCTAAAGAGGAACACGGGCTAGACCTTAAGACCAAACAGGCTATTACAGGAAATTTAGTTATGTTGTTACTTATGTACGTAAGATAGAAAATAAAAGGAATATGCTATGCTTTGAATTTGATGTGGAAGAAGTGCTTCAGAATATGCAAGAATACAAGCACACTACCTATCAGCAACTCATTAAAACAGCTGCTTAGGATCATATGGTTTCTGTTGATACATGCATACATATGATCCTAGAAACATACATGTTTGCTTTAATGAGATGCAAATAGTGTTGTGTGTGTATTCCAAAGCACTTTTTCCAAATCTAATCTGAAGCACTATATATTAATAAATATTAATATAGCTATTGCGCAATAATAATGAATAACAATTAATAGGCAGGTCAAAACTTTTGAGCCATTCATAAACTTGTACATATAGCATCATAAATATTATAAAATATGCTTTGTTTGGAAAAGTATTAATACATTCTCCATGCATATTTTTTGTATCTGTTTTTCCATCCATTGACTCCAGTCTCTAATTTCAAATAGTTAAGAAATTTAGTTTGAAAAAAACAATAACATAAGATCTTGTATCTTCTATACAGTGTGTGAATGTACATGTATATGTATGTATATATTTTTGTGTGTATATTGATTTTGCCATTTAACGCAGAAGGCAAATGGAATACACAGATCTGAATTCAATTATGGGACAATTATCCTGAACAAGTGAAATTAGGAGAAATTTTAGTTAAAAAAAAAAAAAGTCTAAAGATCATGGTATAATCATGTAAATACTCAATACTCACAGTAATACTGTCCAGGAGCCTGGCCATGCGTTTAATTATTTCACCATGGTGTGCTGATTGTGTTTGCAGCAGCTTCTTAATGACTACTATGCTTTCTGCTACTACTATTTCTGATAAAATAAAGAGAATTTGCAGTTTTTAAAAGGTATGCCTCACAGTCAAATAATATTTAATTTCAAAGTATGTTTGACAAAATAGAATATTCTCTAATTCAGATTATATCAGTTTCAACATTTTATACACATCCTGTCAGGAAAAATAAGAGCCATTATTCCACAAAGTACATATATTTTACAATTATTTTCTGAAAAAGTACACTTTTATGAGTCATTGTATTTTCTACAAAGCCCAATTTGCTATGCATGCAAAGCATTATATACCATCATATCTGAAATGCTATCATATTATTATTATTGTTATTTATGAAATTTATATACCCCCCATTTCCCCCATCTATTAGTTTACAATTCAAATAATTTATTGTTTTTTTTAAAAGCACATAATTTAGGAAATAAATCATGCTAATTATGATTCTGGTAAGAAAATTCAGCTTGAAAAGGAAAGAGAAATCTGGTCAAAGTTAAACCACATTTTAGTTCATTTTTTTACCATTAGCTGAATTTCCATAACGCCACTTATCACAGTAATTATGGCACAGAACCTTCCTTTCTTTTATAAGTAAACATGGTGATAATGAGGCTTTTCAGTTTTTCTATAGTTTGTAACAGATGAACTCAGGTTCAAACCATGTAAAAATATAGGTGAAGAGGATTACGGTAGCATTCTTCTGTCTTCAATCAATGGAAGCAATGAGAAAATTCCTAAAGACAAGGGTGGATCTTAATTCCTTCCTTTGGTACATCTGTGGTCACTAACATGCCTACTCACCCAAAACTGGAATTTCTGCTTCAGGATATAATTGGGATTTCCACATCATGTGAAATTACAGTTCCCGAGCCATCAGTCTCCCTCTCTTTGATTCCCACCTTTTCTAAGCTTTTAGGTAGCACTGAAGACTAATCAAGTTGCTCTGGCACCAAAACCAAGGCTCTAAACACATAATCTTTCTTTCAGGGAGAAAACAAACAAACCAATATAACTACCTTCCATTTGCACACCAATGGACTCTCTGGGGCTTACATTTGTGGAAATTTGTTTAGTATTGAATGAATGAATGATCACTGACAAACATTGCTTTCTCCAATCTGCTGAAGTTGGACTGCATCTCAGAACCCAACTGCCTATCCTTCTCATCTACTGACAGTTGTCTGGGATAAGATAGTAAGAGGAGTAAAAAAAAAAAAAGAAGCAAACACACTAGGAACTTAGCAATAAGGAGAGGGGACTAGCTTGTTCTACTTTCAAAAGGCTGAAGCATAGGACTCATCATAGTTGTTCTTTTATTTTTCCCTCCCTGCTTCCCAGTTCCTTCCTTCCCTGTTTCTGGAGCCATATGGAGAAAAATAACTGAAATTCAAGTTAATCTCTCATAGTTTGTGGGAGTCTAGATGAGAGGGTAGGAAAAGTCTTTAGATAAACAATCATGAGCACTTCTGATCTTTGAATGAAGGCAAAAGGAGCCCCCTTCTTTCCTAACAGTACCCTCTAAACTTAGGAGTTGGGGGCCAGACCCCACCATTACTGCTGTTTTATTTCTATCCTATTCCTAGGTAATATTTAATTTAAAACAGGGAGGCTCAAACAATCCTGATAATTGGTTCCCACCATGTATTTTCCAGGGCGCCTCTGGGAAATGAACAGAATAGGAGAGTCAGGGATCCATTCACCTGGCAAACTGCTGAAGAGATGTACCAGCTATTACTGAACAGCTGCTTTTTCACCCCTCTCTCTGCTTTGCTCTCAGATTTTTCCTTAAGGGCAAGGTTAACCAACAAGTGCTTATGCCCAAGCAATCAGGTAGTGACTAATGCATTCCTGAAGTGGCTGCTCCCTCAAGCTTCTAGACAGCCGCTTTGCTGCACTTTGTTGATCTTCCTGAATTCTTGCCCATTAATGATAGTCAGAGGAAAGAGGGCAAGAGCATACAAAAACACCCTGGCAAGCATCCCGGGTGCTATGATGCTTGTGGGCACATGTTACCCACTTGGGATTTACAGGATGACACCAAGTTCCTTTTTCCAATCTTATGGCCTCAACCCTAGGCCCAAGTGGTCAGATTGTTGGGCACCTTAGACTCAGGCTGGTGCTAGTAAATGCTAGATCTGTCATTTAATCTATCTATAATCCAGTGGTTAGGCACTGTGGCAGAGTGAGGTACCGGCTGGAGGGAAGCACTTAGGTCTGTGCCAAAATCATAGATTTTTTGGGGGTGGGGGGAAGGCAGATGACTTAGCACAAGACCAAGAGCACATTTGCAGAAAAGAGGGAAAATGCTAGAATGCACCAGTAATGTGACACTTACACACCTTAGATACAGAATATATCTAATAAAGACAAAGGAAAAGCCAGAGGTGGGGCAGTATTTTTCATATCTGCAGAACATACTGCTGGAGAAGACATCAACTGGTTGGAATGGAGTGAAGAAACGACCAAGCCTGCCGAGTCCAGAGATGGCAAACCTGGGACAGGAAGGAAGACTGAGAGGAAAAGCCTGAAGCAGCTTGTGAGAGCATGGAAAGACCAGCAGAATACACCAAGGAAGGTATCTTGGGCTGTGTTGTTTATATGAATAATCAGATGAACAGAGAGATTTTGTGAATTAAAGGTTTTGTTGAGGAGTAAGACAGCCAGGAATAAACTCAGAGACATTGCAATATCAATAATTGAGATAAGGAGGGGGAGAAGGGGTAGTAATAAGTTACAAACAGAAATTGAGAGAAAGAGACATTAAGAAGAAGGGAATCAAGGAGGATAAGACTTGATTTCTCATAATGTTCTGTACATACATAGAAAAATATACTGGTTTTGTAAATAATACTTTCACTTGTACATATTACTAGATCAGCGGTTCTTACAGTGTGGTCTAGGGACCCCTGGGAGTCTCCTAAACCCTTTTAGGGGGTCCACAAATATTGTAAAATTTCTCAGTTTTAATTTCTAATATAGTAAATATTGATATTGATTCCTGGCAAGTGCCTGGACTAGTCCCTGCAGTTTTCTTGGGAAGATTTTCAGAAGTAGTTTGCCATTGCCTTCTTCCTAGGGCTGAGAAAGAATGATTGGCCCAAAGTCATCCAGCTAGCTTTGTGCCTAAGGTGGGACTAGAACTCACAACCTCCTCATTTTTAGCCTGGTGCTTTAACCACTACACATTATTGCTGGGTTGTTATTGGGAGTATAAATGTATTTCAATGCCTTGGGGTAGAGATGGAAGCAGTCTAGATCACAAGCTCCATAACAACTACAGTAGCTTGCACAAAGGTAATCTCAGTCCCTACTCACAAAAATGGTACTTGTTGGATTTGGGTTTTACTTCAAAGCAGATGAGATGTAGCCTGCATATGGAGGACATACCATCTATGTCATGCCATGGTTAGATCAGTTTCTAGCCAAAGTCAACTTCTGCAAGGACAATAAGCCTATTAAGATGGTCAACCTTATCTTTGTGAATAAAATTGTTTGTTTTTAGTCAAAATTGGATGCTAGTTCCACAAAATCAAGCATGGTGAGTGGGGTGATGTCAGCTTGGATTTGAGTTTATGAAACCTGAGGAATTAGATATGGTCTTCGCTAATAAAAGCACTGCTACCTATGGGATGGATCCATGCCTATTCTGATTACTTTTGGTAGCCAGGGCACAGATGATTTGATTTGGGAGAAGCTTAGATTTGGGAGGTGATTAATGAAATTAGGAAGTGGGATGAGATTTTGAGAGAGAGCAAGATTCCACCAGCATTGAAACAGTCAGTGGTGCAGTATCTCTTTAAGAAGCCATCTATCCATCCAGTCATCTTGGGACTTTCACTCAGTCTCCAGTCTTCCCCTTTGGTAATCTCTTTCCATCAGAATTCAGGCACAGGCAGACTTCCAGGGAAGAACTGGCAAACGACTGTGGTGGAATCAAGAGCTGGTGAGTAGACCAGGTCTTCGTAATTCCTCTTTGGACAAGGAGAGGACTTGAGATCGCCCACAAGTGTTCCAGACAGTTGCTCCCTGCGAGGAGACTGCAAGACAGCAATCTCCAGCAAGTTTAGAGCTTTGGGAGGTGACCATCCTGTTCAAACGCGATTGGCACCTTTGAAAAGACACTGGGTTCACATACTTCCTTTTCTAATCACTTTCGGAAATTGCTTGTTAACTGCTTTTCAACTATTAGGAACCTTTGGAGAGACAAATTTTATAGCACCAAATGAGTGTCCTTCAATCCTTAGCAAAAGAAGTTTTAAATATAAGTTTAAAGACTTAATTTTTTTTCTGGAATAAACAGCAAAAGGGTGATTAAAACTTTGATTTTAGAAAG